TCAGCAAGTACGACTTGCAGCCGTTGCGCCGGCTGGTGGGGGACGCTCGCGCCGCGCGGATGGTGGCCGACCGCGAGACGAGCTTCCTCTTTCAGTGATGTGCCGTGGGAAAAGATGTCCTATTTTACGCCCTTGGGCGAGGATTCCCCTTGTTGCGAGGCCGCGGCCAAGCTGCAGAACATGTGCGAACCAGTGCCTATGCGACGCTCAAGGAGTAGGCGCGGAGCGCCGCGCGCGGAGCGCGCCCCGAAGAAAATTTTGAGGGTTGTGGGGTTGCTAGATGCGATTTCTATTTAGAGTTTGACTCACACGCAGGAACCAATCGGCCCACCCACAGGCCCAATCTCGAGTGGCGGCGCTCCGCGCCTACCCATGCAGCGGCGCGCTCCGCGCGTGTTCTGCAGCGGCGCGCTCCGCGCGTGTCTCTGTATCTAGCCAGCGCGCTCCGCGCGTGTGTGTCTAGCTAGCGCGCTCCGCGCGTGCGGTGTCCAGCTAGCGCGCTCCGCGCGTGTCCGGGTAGAGCACCGGCGCGCTCCGCGCGCATGAGAATCCAGTGCTTATGCTCATAAGCACTAAAAGCTCGTTTCTGCAGCTTGGCGGCCGCGGCGGTGCGCGTTTTATCCGCCGCACCGTGGAGGGTATGAATTCCGCGGAACGCGAGCTGAGGGTCGGTCGCCGTCCGTCTCGCAGTCACCTGCTGGATGCTCTCGCTGAGCGTTCAATCCTCGCAAGCCTACTCGTCCTACCAAGCTTACGTGCCCAACGGCTACGCCAATGGACAGGACACGGGCCATTGCTGCGGGCAGACGCAGTTCCGCTTTGCGCTGGCAGCCGAGGGCTACCGATGGACAGAGGCCCTCTGCAACGCCGATACAGATGGCGATGGCCAGAGCAACGGTTTAGAGCTCGGCGACCCGTGCTGCTTGTGGACCAGGGACGGCGGAATTCCCGCCTTTGATGATGACATCTCACTCGCCGGCGACGCCAACTCGATGACGTTTCGATCCATGCCTTCGTGCATCGTGTCGCCTTCTCCGCTGCCGCCTCCACCGCCTCCTCCCCCGCCGCTGCCGCCACCACCTAGGACGCCACCTCGGATCCCAGTCGGCCAGCCCCAGGCACCGCCGCCTCCGCCGAGACCTCCTCCTTCTCCGCCGCCGCCGCCGCCGCCGTCTCCCCCACCACCAACGCCGCCGTCACCGCCGACACCGCCTACGCCGCCGGCTGCGCCCAGCGGGGTGGACTTCACCATCCCAGGGTTGCCTCGCGCCGCGATGAGCTTTTTTGCGCACTCATTGCTGATGGGACTCGCCTGGATGCTGCTAGCTCCGGCCGGCGTACTGCTGGCTCGCTTCGGCAAGGTTTCCCTTGGCGAGGCCAAGTCGGCGAAGCCGGCCGCCTGGTTCCGCTTCCACAGGGCGCTTCTCGCGGCGGCGCTGATGCTCTCCGTCGCGGGCTTCACCCTCGCCTTTTTCATGGTCGACGAGAGCAGGCACCTCGCAAGTGCCCACTCGATCATGGGCGTGGCCCTGCTCGCCGCGTCGTTGCTGCAGGGCGCCGGGGGAGCGCTCCGCCCCGCCAAATCCGCCCGCATCCGCCCTCTGTGGCGGATCGCGCATCGATTGATTGGCGCGTCGACCTGCTTTGCTGGGACTCGCCACCTTGCATCACCGGGCGGGGCAGTGGGCTGGAACGTGGAACCTTGTCCCGGCTGGGAAACCTTGGGGGAACCGCTTCCCGGGGGGGGCTCGCGGGCGGGCCATTCATTGAATCGCCGG